ATAGGATTGCAACCGTATAATATATAATAACATACATTGAAGTGAACCTATATTAAACCAGTGCCCGGTGAGATCCCAGTGTGATACGAATGTAAACTCTGCTTCTGTCACCTTACAACAACTGATCATTCGTTACCCAGATTGTTAACCTGAATATTATTAGTCTTAACTGCCTGCAGACTCGCAGATTAAGCCTTATAATTGAGGAAGTAGGAACAATACACGAACGTTTTCAAAACGGAATCGTCGGCTTTATGGCAACGTGAAACTCCTTTAATACAATCAACCATTTTTGTTTGGTTCAGTGAATCGATGCTGAGCTTGAAAGTAGGTGTCCAATTAGAATAGTAATAGTACTGTTTTGAGAAAAGTCAAAGGAAAATTAGTGCAACTTTTTTGATTTTCGCTTTCGGTTCGAAATTTTAGAATTTCAATTCATGGACGAAAACGACACACCCAAAGCTAGCTTATTTCCTTAGGAAACAATTCTTCCTACTCTTCCTAAATTTTTTGAGAACGAATGATTTTACTTCTGTCGTTTCTCCCAACATGATCTCATCGTTTCCGTCTTTATATTTAAAGGCGTAATGTTTGCACCACTCAGCAATGATCTTTGACTTTCATACCATTCAGTAACAATTAAATCATAACCACCTCAGTAAGCTTTTTTGCAAGGCTTAGATTATATTCGTAATTTACTACTTTCGTTTTCATGTAGGTACGTTTTTCCTCACCGCCCGATCTTTTGCTTTGCTGCTGCAGAATCTATGCTAATAGATCTGCTATTTAACTGCGGAGACACAAAATTCCATAGCAATTAAGACGTCGATGAAAATCTCTGCTAAGTGTTGAAGTTAATAAGCATATAAACTGATAAAGTATACATATAAAAGTATTACATAACGACTTCTTGCTTCTCTGTAGCATTGCGTGACTAAATCCTTATATTGAATATTGATCATATTTGGCCAGTTCTCCTCTTACACGTATTTATTGAGTTTTTTCTCACAGAATGTCTATAATCATTTTTGTCGGAAATTCTAATTCTGTAATCATTTTTAATGTTTTATTATTTTCAACATTTGATGCTGATTGATAGGTAATAAATGTCCAAATCAACTGATGAAAATAGAACTACCAATAGGATTCAATTTGGAGTTCAGTATATCTACCCCTGTTGTTTTTCTATTTTTTTAACTTTGCTTTAGCTGTAGCTGTTCTCTTTTCGTATATTTTGTATATTTCCTTATTAGTTTGTTGTTCTGTTTGGTCTTATAATTTAGCTGTCTCGCTTTGTTATTAACTTTATTTGCTGATTACTTTATATCTACCAAAACAAGTTCTGTCCAATAGATCACTTTGAATGATTTATTTTTATTAGATAGTAGGTATTATATAACATCGAAAAAAATATGTAATATTTTTAATAGTCAACTAATTTTCACAAAAAAACCTAAATTAAATGATTGAAACTACAGCAACGAGTATTTTATCGATCAGTTGCCTTTAAAAGATGCATAAAACTTTTATTTCAAGTTCCAGCCGTAGTTTGTTCTTTTTGTAATACTCTTATACCCATTTTGAATACATGAATGATCTTGTTTGCCACTCACGAATGCTCATTTGATAATTAATCTTACACCATTAAATTTTGTTGATTGGAACGAATTTCCATATAGTTTTGATTCAAATATCCACCTACCGAAGAAATTGAGAAACTAATCACAAATGCAACTTTTACAGCCACTCATATAATTCGCTTCAGTGATCGATTGTGTATTTTTTATAGCAAAGTGTATGATACGATTCCCAGTTGAAATAATCGAGTTTATGATGTTCCGTCCATATATTTTTTTTAACTCAATTTGACCTCAATGAAGCTGAAAATGGCAATTAAACATTTTAAATGCACTATAAAAGTACTTATTACTTTTATTAACCGTAGCTGGGCGACAATTCCAATAAAACTTAAACACTATTTTTTAATTATAAAATTTAATTGAAGAGTTTTTCATGGATGATTGATAAATTAGATTACAAAAATTAGAATTAAAGTATTTAAATAGGTGTTTTTGGCTCGTTTGGCATTATTGTACGCCAAAGTAACCAAAGATTGGAAATCTTTAAAAGTTAATTTCTAGATTTTTCCTTTCTGAAAATCAGTCCATAACATCTAAACTTCTTCCTTTCTAATTTATTATAACAAATAATTGACAAATTATATCGGCGAGATCAAGTCACGCCGCAACGTTGTATATTGCATCGAACGCTCTCAATCTTGGACCCGAAGTAAACTGAGGAAACTGCGACCAATTAAAGCAATATTAATTGATACTTAGTCTAATGAGGCTCTTCGAAAGTTTTGTTACACATCTAAAATGTGCTTAAATTGTTTCCATTCGGTTACATCTTTTGATTCTGGCCGCTTCAATCAATATCCTGCGGCAAACTGGAGCTTATCGATAACCATTTATACTTTTATGGTGCAAATAAGTTCTTCGAATTAGTGGTATGTTATTGGCTTAATTGGATCGCAATCAGATTTAGTGGGGCTTACTTAAAATGGTATTAATGCAAACTCGTTGAAAATTCCGGCTCATACATTATCAAACGATATGCTCGTTTCTTGTATTACCTTTTTCCGTTTTAAACAATATGCTAAGGAAGCATACATACAAAAACTGTTATTAAATTTATATATTTCACGCCTCAATTAACTGTGCCAATGGCATCCTTTATTAAAGCAGTCATGCAATTATTTTTGGGAATTATCACACGAGAATTTTACGCCCGGTTTTCTCTATATGTACATGTTTTCGGTTAAAAATCACCTAAGTTAATAATTAAATGTACTCATATTAAATATGGTAGAAACAAGATCCGGAAGTCATTTTTTTTGGGCAACAGCTTTGGTTGCCAAAAGCAATTAAAAAGAGAAGGAAATTTCCATCACTTGAGGAAATCAGTAGATGTAAGCCATTTAAGAATTGTATAATTTAATTGAATTTGTCGGACATTAAAGTAACGGTTTGAATTAACTTGGGCGTTATCTTTAAAATTGCTTGCAAAATTGGTTTGTTGGAGATAAGTCGGGTAATATTGTAGGATGTTCTGAAGGATTGAGTTGTTTGGAAAATTATTCTTGCTGCGTACCTATTATTTAATGGGTGAAAGTTGAGGTTTTTTTCCTGAATTGCTGTTGAAATTCTTATAAAGCTGCCGCTTTGACTAAAACAAGTTGAAATTATAATTATCGAATTGTTGACAACGACTAGACGTAGGCAACATTAGAGTTAGTTTTGCTAAGAAAATAGTGACTACCTAATTAAAATACCATAGTTTTAACAAAAGTAAGTTTAAGTTTTCTTAAATTAGCTTGCTACTTTAAATATTTTTTTTGTATACTTTGTATATTGTAAATATTATTGTTAGACGCTAAAATTATACACTTTGATGATCTGAAATTGATCGAGTTGTTTTAAATTAAAATGGGGGTCGGCCTGCGGTAGAAACCTTTCGGCGCGAGCAATATTGTAAGTTAATAAACGATTGGGCAGAGAGAGCATCTTTGGGTCAAAGTAAAAGATTCACATAATTGGCGAATAACCCTGAAGCGAGTTTTGAGTCGATGAACCGCAGTTTAGTAACGAACAGAGTCGTATTTGTACCTGTTGTATGAATTTTGGTAGTTTAAATGGGCGCGCAAATTGCAAATCCTGCTAGTTTCGACTAGCTACAGGCAAACTGGGAAAAAAATTGTCCATTCAGCACCGTATAATAGATAATTTGATTTTGTGCCATCAGTTGGTGTAAAAGTGAACATTTTTTCAGCGATAGAATCAAATTAAATTGGACGAGTTGTTCAATCGAAAAATCATGATTTAGATTTATTTGCTATTTCAGCAATGGTCGAAAGAAATGTGTAAATGTTTGAACAAAATTTACCAGAGAAGCCCTTTGAATATTTAACGCATAATTCATCTGATTATGTGACAAAGTTTTTTAATTTTATATTAACAAAATTACTTAAATGGGATTGAAGTAGTTCCTAACATCTTTTAAAATCTTTTTTAAAATCTTTTCTTGTCAACTATTTCAACTCATAAACTGATAAACTGCTTGATATTGCTTCTACATAGAGTCACTTTGAATGTGACCACTTAATACATCATAATATTGATATTATTTTGAATAGCTTGAAGGTTAACATGAATATTTCTTCGTTTGTCTCAATCTTGGCATCTTTTCTAAATCTCTAAAATAGCTCAAGTTCGTCTCTGCGAAAAAGGGTAATCTCTTCATGGCTCTCATTCTTATTTTCAGACGATTCAGCCTTGCCCTCAGCGTCTTGTAGCACCTGTACTATCATGCAGTATCTGTTAATCAAATTAATTTCAGTGGCGGACCTGGCCTGTGGTACCTACCGAATGCCATATTAACTATATTTGCAATGTTTTATACGGTGTGCGAATATTTAGCTTTAATTCGTCTTCGATCTTCAATATTTTAGGCATTCATAATTTTATTAAAATTATCTGCCTGACTCTTCATTGCTTAACAAGATACTAAAGGAAATTTGATTGACTATTTGATCAGAAAATGCTCCATTTGATTGAAGCTGCTACTTTTCTTCAACTTTGCAATTGAAATGCAAATGCACTGTTTTTTGGTTTGTTCTGCTTCTTCTAATCTTGGTTTTGTTGCATAAATTTGCAAATATGGACTTCAGTTACTTAATTGATGAAGATTATGAATCCGAAACCGGTCTTAAAATTTACTTAAGATCTTTAAAAAAACAATAATGTACAGTATGAGGTTGTTTGCTTAGAATCAATGTTTCGCACTCTATTAATAACTGCGGGTTATTGTTTTCGCTTTTTCCCATATTTTTTACCAATTCTGATTTGAAAAAGTTTACTTTTACAATTCAGGTTCCATCTCAAATTAAATCTCATCATCTTAGGATCAAACAACACGAGCAAATAATTAAAGCAACAAAATAAGTTTAAAACTGACATTTATATTTACCAAACAAACTGTATAATTCTCTAATAAGAAATCTTAAACCGTACTTGCTGTAGACGATGTTACTGGTTCGTTCTTGTTTTGTACGCAAGTGGAGAAGTCATTGAAAATCTGTACATTCTGTTCCTCCATGGCTTCAGTTGCATCGCGGCCACATTGAAATATTTCGAACCCCAAGGCTAAAAAGTCCATTACAGCTCTATTAGAGTCCGTTTTTATTTTGGCAGGAATCGATAGAGCAATTTGTTCCAAATCTATTACAACGCTTTTGATGCATTCGAAAGGAAACAATTTTCCTTTGCAGCTATCCACTTTGGCTTCATGTTCCGTAAAATTCACATTGATTTGTCGTAATTCTTCTAAAATTATTAAAACATTTTCGCCAGTTACTGCAATTGAAGCGTCTATGCAAGACATGGATGAATTAACGGCTCTTTCCTGGATATTTCCAGCTTCAACTTCAACTGTTTCCAGACAGTTCAGGATATCGATATTGGCGTTGCTTGATCGGTTTTTCACTGCTTCGATTAGCTTGTAGAGGAGATCGGATTCTCGTTGAACTTGTCTTGCAGCAATCGCTAAAGCAGTTTCTCTGAGATAGTCCAACTTTCCAATAATGGTCTGCAAAGTGGCTTCGGATTCTTCAAAGGCAAAATCGATAAACTTGGCTACGAATTGGAGTGCTTCCTTAGCTACATCAATTAACGGATCTAGGGGTGCTGTTTTCTTTGAAGAGGCAAACTGAAAAAAATTGATTTCTTGTTTTGTACGCGAAAAGTTTGGAAATCTTAGTATTACTCATAGAATTAAATAAAGTTAGTATAATTTTATTACCTGAGTTGCACAACACCCAACTAAAAAAATAACAGCAAATTTTCGGAACATAGCTATTTCCGCTGAAAGCAGTGAACGAATAAATCACTCAGTGATTACAATGAGTTCTTATATATACAATCTTCATAAGTGGTCTAAATTTTACCAGATCTTAAATAGTTTATTTCCAGATTTTTTTAATTGCTAAGTAAACTTGTAGTGTATACATTATAATAAATGATAAGTCGTTGTGTTCATCTTATTTCGTAATCATAAAACGTCTGGTTTTGAAAAATGCCATTGTTTATGGCGCGCTGTTTGTTAATGTATGAGTACTTACTATTGACAAAAAGCGCCCTCAAATGCATTTTATAAAATTTGATTGGTTGGCAAACAGGACATATTTATAAAATACACATTTTATGAAAAACCAATATTGTCTAGGTGCTTATTGTTTCAAAATAGTAAAGAGCTATTTATCTTATTATGATTCATTTGTTGAATGAACTTTTCACTTGATGTGATTGACTTGACGATTTTCGAAATCTTGAATTAATGAAAGGTGAATAAAAGCATTTGTACTGGCGTGTTTGAAAACATTTTTATTGATGTTTAGAGTAAGATTTTGCTTGCACATTCTCAATCTTCAGGCCATTGTCTTGATGTTACTGTTTTTTCTTCGATCTTTGCAATAGTCAAATGGATTCATTAAAAATCAATCTAATTGCGAAATAAAACGTCCTTCCATAACAAAAATTCAGCAAAAAATTCTAGTTTATATTAGACGATTATATCGCGGCACTTTTAACAAGGTAGCATGACAACCATCAATATATCTATTCCATATTTGTCAAATTAGAGAAATTTCCAGTGCATTTAAAAGCAAATAGACAAATGTACATAAAACCGCGTATAATCAGCCGGCCTGGAATAGCCCTACTGCCGATTCCTAATACTGATAAAGGTCCCAGCTGCACTTTGAACTAATTTAATAATTAAAAACAACATTTGATCTTATATACCAATCGTTTACACGGACATATTGCCTCTTCCAGTAGCGTGAATAGTTTTTACAACGGTTGCATGCTCAGATGCATGCTTTTGTTCATTCTTGTTCCCGTGACAAATATGAACGTTCAAGTCTCATCCATTTTGCAGTTATATGTTGTTGTGTATTTAGCAGTTATCATAAAAGCCGACAATGTAAAAGAAATAGCTTCTTCTTTGGTGCAATTTCAAAATACTCAAAAACTTTGCGAACAATGTCTGGAAACTGTTGTGACTAATTACCGCCTAACACCAGACGGAACTGTTATCAGCAACTTGAATGTAAGAGATGCTTTCAGAGGAAATGTAGTGATAATAAATCTGGATTGTGGCTGTGAGATTTTGAATCAAGCCAAGTTACAACTGTATATTCTGGATATTAGTCACGACCAAAAAATGAGGAACTTCCACAAGCGGATGGAGCAACAGTGCTTCAACTCAAGGGCAAAGTATGTGTTTATCACCGACTTTCAAAACGCTGATAAGATTGAAGTTTTTTTGAAACTCCTATCTCAATTCTACATTTGGCAAGTTGCTATTATTGACCTGGAATTGAACGTTTATACGTATTTCCCGTATAAAAACGCGAATGTAAACAGTCCAGATCTAACGGCAGTGAAAATCGGCCAGTGTCCTAAACTATCAACACACGCAATTTCTTTAAGCAGTAAGTACAGTGCTAGAACTGGCCCAACCTTTTGAACGAATTTAACATTTCCAGAACAACGACATCCAGAAATGTGGAAAAACACTACGTTAAAAGTATATTTCAAACTGTTAAAGCCTTATTCCAATGAACTGAACACTGGGTCTGAACAACGCGTATTATCGGAAATTATTAAAAGTCTGGAAATGCAAGTGGTCTCGACTTTAGGATTTCATAAGTTTCAAGGGATTAAGAAAAATGGAACATATCAAGATGAAGGATTAAAACTGCTGTACCAAAAGAAGGTCCAAGCGGTAGCCGGTGGATATGAAGCAGAACCCAACCTGTGGAAGGATTTTGATGTTAGCCCCGTAATATTTATAGACAGTATCCGGTTACTAACTCCCAAATCTAAGGAAATTGGTCCCTGGATTAGGATGGTGTGCATATTTACTTCAAAGTCAATTTTCACGCTAATAGGTGTTGCATTAGTTTGGTCGTTCTTCGTTAAAGTCGCATATGGAGGAGACGCTTTCAATTTGCTATTCATTGTTATCACTCTTTACAACCAACAATCCGTTTACAATATAGGTCAATATAAATTTAGGATAACTCTCTACTTCACCATATTGGGATTCTTTTTCATCTCCTGTTCCGAAGTTGCTCTACTAAAGCAAATATTTTTCACTGTTTTGTACGAGCCAGAGCTGAACTCTGTCGAGGATGTCTTAGGACAAGAACTTACCATACTTGCATCATCTGAAATTCTTCAGAGCTTTAGAACAAGCAATCGGAAATTCGACAGGGAACTATCAAAAAGAATGCTGCCCTGTGTGACGGATATTTCTAAATGCCTGAGGCACGTTTGCATTGATCGTACTGCTGTAATGATCGCTCCAGCCGCACCAATGATACAACAGGCTGTCGATGTTTGCTTCGATTCCCTGACGGGAGCCAAACGGTATCATTTAGGTGAAGAAATCGGACGCTCCTATCTTCAACTGTACTTCAGCAAGGGGTATCCCCCGCATGAAAGATTTTATGATGCTATTAATCGCTTTGTGTTGTACGCGGGCATTGCTATGAAGGAAAAGGATCATACTTCTCATCGATACCAGAAGATTCTAACAGCGATGCCTAAATTCAAATCAGATTCCATGCAATTGAAACACCTACAACTGGTACTAGTGGTTTGGTTCATTGGCATGGTTTTTTCAATTTTCGTTTTTCTGGTTGAGGTTTATGTATGGAGGAAAATGGTTGAGTCTAGAAGACATAAGTACGAATGTAGGGAATGAGRAATGTGAGGCGAGTGGAACTGCTGCTGTTCCAAAGCAAAATCGCATTTTGCCGTTTTACAGCACCAATTTTGGTTGTTATTGTCCAGATATAAACGCGTGGTTTGGGTAGGATTCTGCATAAAATTTGCGAAAACATTTCACATTATTTTCCAAACCATTCTTATTCAGATATTCTTTAAATCCGACTCGAAGGACCAATTATTGGGATTGGAATCATTCGACTAACTTTTCTTGCTTTAAAGAAATTCAATAGACGACAMTTTRTAAAAGAAGATCCGGTGRAAATATTATGATTCTGTTGCCCTTTTATATTAGTAAGGAATTAAAGCCAAGTAGTACGAATTACCGTATAATTTAAATATAAATTAAGTATAAATTTAATTTATTTCGACAATTGAATAAAAAGATAGATGTGCAGTTTTATTTTTATTTAGCTTTGGTTTTTTGCAACTGAATTCTTACCATCACTTTCTTATGAAATTTGTCTCGATTTTCTGTTGAGTGGAACTGTATTGCTGCAGTCAACGCAAATTCTGATTTTACCGTTTTACAACGCTTATTTTTGTTGATATTGTGGCATTATAAACGCAGTGTCTGGCTATGATTCCGTTTTGTCAAATTTGTATTAACATGTTAGAGTGTATCGTGCATTCTGCTATTGTTAGAGGTAAAGGACATTAGTTGATGACTAATATTTCGCGCAAACCGAGCTTTCGTATGTTTATTTCCATTCTCTATAAAGAAATATAAAGAAATTTATGTTTTTGTCACTAATGCACTATTTCAGTGATCGATTTTTGAAGAAGAAATATACTAAAAACATACTTGTTGAGATTTTCCTCAAATCCGGCTCGAAGGACCAATGATTTCTCCGTGATCAATCGAGTAACTTTCCTTGTTGTAAACAATTTTATTGAATGAAAAAATAGTCGTAATATTGATTTTATTTTCAATGGAGATTAGGGAGAATTAAATTTCCAAGGAGTACAAATGGTATTCCCATTTTACTTGGATTCATTCTGTTTCAACCGATTCCACAACTGAATAAAAAGATAAGAGTGTAGTAGTATTCTAATTTAGGTTTGGTTCCTCAACTGATTCCTATCCATCGTTTTCTTGAGCGATTTGTGTTTGTGCGTCTCCCCTGTAAAGTTCAAATGTATTGTTGTTCTAACGCAAATTCGCATTGAAGGGTTTTATAACACTAATTTTAGTCGATATTGCGGCGGTATCAAAGCGTGGTTTGCTTATGATTTCGTTTTGTCAAACTTTTTTTTGTGCTTTATGCATTCTGTCGCTAGTCTTGAAGGACATTTAGTAGCTAATCGTTCGCGCAAACCGAGCTTCAATATATCCATTCCCTAAAGATAAAACTGAGTAAAGAATCAATAAACTTTCCATTTCTGTCACTGAAAAGGTGCAGGTGGACTAAACTTGACTGCGGCTCTTTTGCATACACTATTTCTCAAGATATTCGTGTTGAGATATTCTTCAAATCCGGCTCGAAGGGCCAATGAATTGGCCTGTAATCAATCGAATAACTTTCCTGGTTTTAAACAGTTTTGTGGATTGAAATTTGTAAAACCGGTCTAGTGACAATATTATGAAGATATCGCTCTTCTCCATTAGAGAGGAATTACATTTCCAAGGAGTACCAATGGTATTCTCTTTTTTGCTGGGTTAATTGTATGTATTGCAATTGATTTATTTCAACAATTGAATAAAAAAGTAAACGGCTAGTTGCATTTTTACTTACTTGTTGTTTTGGGTTCTTAACTGAATAATCTCCATCGTTATTTTCTGAGTTTTGTCTTCTGCTCTCATCGACTGGCGCTGTATTGCGATTATTCTAATGTTAATTCGCATTTTACATTCATGCATGGATTCTGTCGCTAGTCTTAAAGGACACTAAGTTAGCTAATTTTTCGTGCAAACCAAGCAAAAAATTAACGAACTTTCTGTTTCTGCCACTAATACAGTAGGTATTCCAGAGACCGATTTTTTGACAGAGGATCTAGATGGATCCACGATATCCTAAATCACTCTTTTTGGAATTTTCTTCAAATCCGGCTCTAAGGGCAAATAATTGGGTATAATCAAAAGACAAAGCTTGTGGTCTTTAAACAACCTTAATGGATGAGAATGTGAAGAAAAAGCCCAG